TTTTTTTTTTTTTTATTTGGAGGAGATACATTTTGGATCTTTGAGTTGTTGGACAGTGTTCCTTCACGTTCTGTGAAATTTCGAAGCAGCGAAGATTTCTTGCCTCTGCAACTTCTGAATTAGCGAATTTCGTTAGAAGAAGGGACTATTTGCATTTGTATGCTTCAATAAGTGATTTCTATTCAAGAAGAGATTCCTCGTTACACTACCAAGGTTACCAAGTAATTTTATTCAGAAAGATATTCTTTCCTTTCTTCCGTGAACTTTGAACCATTGACCTTATCCCATTTTCAAACTTCCGAACAGTAATTTCCATTCGAGAAGAAATTACTTTCTGAATGTGTAACCTTGGAAAGAGCGAATTTCCTTCGAGAAAATTCGGAAATAATCGAGATTCCGTCTTTCTGAGCATTGATCACGTGTAGAAAGAAACTGCGCCCTTGAGGATCAGCGATGGCGCAGGATGGTCCGTCGTCGACGTGCGATGTTCTCCAGCGGATTGAATTATCGGTGCCGCATCCCTGATCGTCTTCGAACGTTCCTCGACCTTAATTTATATCAAGCCAGCTGGCAGTAGCGGGCTGCAATTAGCGATCGAAATAATTCCACCGAGAGAGTGGCTTATGGTCGACTGAATTAAATGTCAGTTACGTAGAAGGTGGCTGACGGTTCGTCTCGTCGATTCTTATCTCGATCGTGTATGATGAATTGACACACACGGTCTTTCTCACGTTTTTCTCACGAAACGAAAGGAAGATCTGATCGTTCTGTATAATATACAAGAAAGGATCTGTGGAGTCTTAGCCTGCTAAGATTTCTCATTCAGTCCAATTAGATCCGTTGTCATGGTGTTCAGAACAAGTACGAAATCCATCATACAGGAGTACGATCTATGGAGTAACGATATCTGGAGCCCGAAGATTCGAAAGAAATGCTCAAGGTGCGGGCATCATTGCTTCGTTTTGTGTAATAATTTAAAATAAGCCGCTTCGATCATCGTTGACGCTATGAATGAGTAATTGTCGGGTGATCGATATGTGAATGAAAGGGAGAGTTTCATGGTACCAGAGTTAAGTCTGATGCGAATGTTCACTGTGTGCGTTAGGAGGCTGTGAATATAACTTTTCTCTTTTTGGTAGATTTTGGTAATTGGTAAATTGTCACGTTTACGAAAGTTCAATCGCATCCGTTAAAATGCAGTAAAACTGAAAGTAACTGTATATGGAGAAAAATGGGAAAAAGAGGAAAAATGAACCAGGCGAGAATGATAGAAACGAAGTGATTTGATAAACGGATTTGGAATTTCGTCGATTTGAATGAAATGAATTGAATGTATACCGCACTTTTGCATTGCAAGATTAAACTTATTGTCGATAACGTACACGGTGGTTCAAAATTTTGAGTATAAATCTGAGTAGTAAGTGGAGCTTGTTAAAAGAGAATAAATGCATAGCTGAGATTAGTATATCACCTTATTACATGAAATTTATACGTGAATGAAACGAACTTCTTTTGATAAGATATAGAATGTGTAAGGGAAATGTCCAGACAGAAGGTAACCGCAGACAGTTAAATATTTTCATTCTTAAATTGCGTAAAAAAGCAAATGACACATTGCCACGGGTCTTCCTAACGTTGAACACATTTTTCAGTTAGTTGTAGATAGATTGGCGAGCGGTACTGATATTACACTTAATTTTGTTACGATTAAAAGCGACATTTCTGTTCGAATCAAATTTTATCAAACCTTATTCTGAATTAAACGTAAGTAATCTTTTATGTTTTGGCAATTAAATGTAGTTTAAGATGCTTGAGTTTTTTTTTTTTTTTTGATATTGTAAAAATGGTCGATAAAAATGGCCCCGTAAAAGAAGGTTCGAAGTTAATTTTTTGAAAGTATATTTTTTTACTATTTCATTTAAATGTCCGGGGCTACCCACTCTTCCCCGGCTTAACATTATTGCAGTATTATAATTTTTCAACGCGACAAACATATTCTTGCAATTAACATCGAAGCAAAGTAGCCTTCAGGAGTTCGTATTGTCGATAAAGAAATTTCGAACAATGGCAATTTGTCATAATGAAATATTGCAAAATAAATACTGAAATTTTAATGTTCATAAATCATCGGATACTTTTCGAAACATATACATACGAACTGTTACGTCTCCTTATTATCTACAAGATTGTTCTAGGTGGATATTTTTTTTATCGATCATCGATAATATCGCGAAAAATCCAGTTTAATTACTACTTTAAGCTTCCGCGATCGACGCTTTCAAATAAAAGTTAAAAATTTCCCTTACAATTTAAATAAAAATACTTCATATTTAACGTATTCAACTTTTCTCCAGTAATCTTTCGAATAAATATTTAACAAAAATCTATTCTTTCCTTTTTTTCCAGTCATCTTTCGAAACCGCTCAGCGGAAGTGCACCATCAATGGCAGCTGGTGGTGCGACGCAGGCCCCAGGAAAGGTTTGCAGATCTTCGTCGACGTCGTCGCCGGGGAGTATCAGCAGCGCGAGACTAAAGAAATTCCACAGGCATTTCTCTCAGGTACAGTTAACGGACGAGCTACAGTACGATCGTAAAATCAGGCAGGTGTGAAAGAATACGAAGTCCGATCGCCAAAATATCAGTTCAGGCAGGTGTGAAAGAATACGAAGTCCGATCGCCGAAATATCAGTTCAGGCGAGATAAGGAGTTCGAGCTTCGTTCAGGGCCGTGAGAAATCCGGTTTTCTCGTTTCAGTGTACAGTAGGACCTCGTATAACGCGATAAGAAAAAAAGAAAGGATGCAAATTTTGAAGGTGACAAAAATTCAATCGACGAAGTAACTGTACCAGCACACAAAATTATTTTTTTATGCATTTCTTTTATTCAGTATTAACTATTTCGTCCAGTACACAGCGAGCATTTTTTGTCTCAAACGTGCTTTAGTGAAAGGGTTAATTTTAAGTGATTCTATGAGTGGTTAGATTTTAGTTCTACCTGTCTCTACCTTCGCTTCAAGTTATTCTATGCGTATAACGAAGAACATTTTGCGTTATTATTATATTATAATAAAATAAAATTCAATTTAAAAAAATGATAAAAGCAGAAAAAAGGTATTTGTGGATCTGTACTGATCCAATATGGCCGCCGATTAGCCGCTAGAAGCGTTTGACTGTCCGAGGATTCGCATCTTTTGCTCGAAGCTTGTGACTTAGGATTTTGAAGGGTTTCCGTAAGATCAATCGATGCTTTCGCTTAACATGGGTGATTTATGACCTAACTATAACTCTTACGCCAAGTATAATTCAAGGAAGTTTCACCCACTGTTCTGTGTTCCACGCAAGTCTCACTTTCGTGAACTTAGAACAGGCGGAATCAGTGGTCGAAATAAAAAATTTTGCAAGTTCGAAAACGCTTTATTGTTGTGGTTGTTGTTTGATTGTAATTTCCTTTCTTCATCGAAGGTCGTATCTACGTACCGTTTTATCGTCTTATCGATTGCACTTACGTTCGGTTCATATAAAAACCAATAAAATTTATCAAGCGAGTTAAACGTACGTAAGAAGTTACACGTGACAGGTTTGATCGTATTAAAAGTGGTAGTGACACGTTGCTACAAATTATTTCTTATGGAAATTAGTTCGTTTCATATCAATCGTGAGTTTTACGAAGCGGAATATGGCGTTTAGATGACCGATTTAGATCGAGTTTTATGCATCACGTGCACACGGTATGTGTATTAATTATCCAATTTGTAGATTTTACAAAGTGTTAGGGAAAGCGTGATACTAATCTGTACAGTGCCTTCTTGGATTCATATTTATGGAAATTTGTACAGGTACATACATGCTTCCAATTCTAAATTATATTCTAAGAAAGATAATAACGTTTTCTCCTTAAACTGCAGTAATTTACATTATTTCTTTCTTTTCTAAAAAATATTCTTCGAACTTCATATTTTACAATATAAGTTTAAAATATAGTACAATTTAATTTATACTTTAAACTTAAAATACATT